TGTTAGGCCTAAGCTAAAATTTTAGCTGACAATTCATGGTTAAATACAAAATACAATCTAGATAATGTTAGGCCTAAGCTAAACTTTTAGCTGACAATTCATGGTTAAATACAAAATACAATCTAGATAATGTTAGGCCTAAGCTAAACTTTTAGCTGACAATTCATGGTTAAATACAAAATACAATCTAGATAATGTTAGGCTTAAGCTTTCGTTACATTCGTTTCAAATTATTACTGTTTGCTATTTAACTCTATAAGTTGAATCAGTAGTGATTTCTTAGCCTAGTATAATAATTATGATAGCCCAAGTTCCCTCTATCTCTCTCTCTATATATACATATAGTAGTTATTGAAATATAATGGATTTTTTTCTCCATAAAAATACTACATCCATGGATCGTAACATTATAGTATTATAGATAATTGTTTAACGCAATCCCTTAACACGTGATGACTAATATGTGGTAATGATATTTGGTATTGTCGAATGTCATGAAGTTAAAAACTTCTCTCAAATTTTTATCGATCTCTCCCTTCCCAGCTGAATCGCTCTTCAAGGGAAGTTTATATATAATACATTCCCACTTCAAGGGAAGTTTATATATAATACATTCCCACTTCAAAGGAAGTTTATATATAATACATTCTAACTTCAAAGGAAGTTTATATACAATACATTCTCACTTCAAGGGAAGTTTATATACAATACATTCCCACTTCAAGGGAAGTTTATATATAATGCATTCCCACTTCAAGGGAAGTTTATATATAATACATTCTCACTTCAAGGGTAAGTTTATATACAAAGGGAAGTTTATATACAATACATTCCCACTTCAAGGGAAGTTTATATATAATGCATTCCCACTTCAAGGGAAGTTTATATATAATACATTCTAACTTCAAGGGAAGTTTATATATAATACATTCTAACTTCAAGGGAAGTTTATATACAATACATTCTAACTTCAAGGGAAGTTTATATATAATACATTCTCATTTTTTCTCTTTCTTATGTTCTCTTTCCACTCCTGAACAGGTGTGTTTTCGTGTGCGTGTGGTTTTCATGAAAATCCAGATTCCGATTGTAAGTGTTTGACCTTAAGGTTGAGGTCTAAACAAGTTTTTTTTAAGAATTTGTGTTTCCTCATATTTGAAATTAATGCACACCGTTTCATCTCCTGTATACAATTAAAATCCGAAACTGGGTGTATGATGGAGAGACTTTAAACTCAAGGATACATAAAGTACCATCTGTGAAGGGCCTAAAACGGGTATCAAACCTCGACTTTTTGCGTTAAAAGGCCCTCAAACCATCGGAAAGCCAAGAGTGAGTAAGAGAAAACAACAAAAAAAAAGCTTTACTGAAATATCCCAAAAACTGGTGTTATAAATAACTGATATTTTCGTTGAGATTTCAAAACTGTACTACATTATATTAGAAAGGAAAATTTGTCTTTAAAATTACCTGGTGATGTCCTCAATAGAATAAAAGAGGTGTCACTTTGAGAGGTAAAAACCCTCCTTTTTTCTCGCCCATGAATCCAGTTAAGTATACACGAAAATACGTAATTACGTATACAAATATTTTACTTTATGTTTTATGTGGAATTATACAGATACTTTGTATATTACATTTACATATTAGTGTATTTATACTAGGTTACTAGTGTAGTACGCTGGCTTAGTCTTTGTTCCAAACGCCCACTGTTATGTTGATATGTTTCTGATAAAAATGATAGCAGGTAAATACGCGATACCGTGTAAAGAAATTTGAAATAAAGTTTAAATCCACAATAACGGAACGGCAACAAATTTATATGGATACAAGTTTCAACGTTTCACGTGTTCTCTTCAACCCAACATCTGTCTAACAGGATACGTTGAAACTTTGGGTTGTGTGACGTCATTGTAGATTTACATTTTTTTTTATGATAAAATTAGTCTGATAATTTAGATACTTTGAATATAAAATATTTGTTTGTTTGATGTAAAGGATAAAACCACGTGATGGGATTTCTATGCTCTGTCCACTGCAGGTATCAAAACCCATTTTTTTAGTACCATCAACCCTCAGATTTACTGTTGAGCCATCGGGGTCTCGGATGTAAAATAAACAAAATTTTAAACTTGTACACATTTTTATTTTACACGTTTTATTATTTTTTTTTCACCGGTTGCGATTATTTTACTTTTACAATCGTCACCGAAACCCACATATTCGTTCTGAGATCAATAATTTGATATTCGTTTTCTCCCATAAATATGGGTGAAACTAAATTTGGAGTTCGATAGCCATTTTCTTACGATTTTGAAAAAAATAAAAATAAAACGCTATTAAAATGTTTCCGGAAGTGTGTTAGAAACAAACAGACGGACATCTACATTAAACTGAAACATTTGCTGTTGGATAAAGGAATTCCTAACTACAAACAGAAAGAGGAGGAACGTGTGTAAGTTTGGTCGCTTAGCAATATAGCTGGGAACAATTTGCGGAGGTGTTCACATAGAATATATTGTTGGCAGAAGGGAGACATATCTTTTGTTAAAACATCAGTTTGAACATGTTTAATTTGTAGAAAAATGAACACTCCAATTATAATCTCATTAGATCTTTATCCTCAAAGTACTTATAAGGGTTATAAGTTAATTATTAGGTGCGGACAATATTTTACACGTATTTCAAGCCTAACGATGAGAAATACCAAATGTTCAAGAAGTTAACTCCCCTTGCTTTACTTGGACTATTTTCCTACAGATTACCGGCTCGGTATGGCCAGGTGGTTAGGGCGCTCGAGTCGCAATCTTCGGGTCGCGGGTTTGAATCCCCATCCCACTAAACATGCTCTCCCTTTCAGCCGTGGGGACCTTATAATGTGACGGCCAATCCCACTATTCGTTGGT